TTGACAAAAGCTCTAGAAATAAAACCCCCCCCCCCCCCCAATTATACAGGCATAGTACTGAGCAAAGGTTTTAGGCACTTGTGAAAAAATCTTTAGAGGATGCTTTCAGATATGCTGCAGTAAATAGCGGTTATGAAGCTACACACTGCATAAATCAACTTTTTTCTCTTTTTTTCTTGTATCCCCTTTGCCTTTATTCCTTTGTTTACACCATCTCCAGAGCAAATCCAGGCCACAACATTCTTCTGGACCAAAAACATGCACATTAATTCCAATGGTAAAATGAGGATAGTACATAGTGTTCAGTATCAGAGATTTCTAGGAAAAAAGTCCAGTATGCTGCATCTTCCCCCCCCCCCCCCTGTGCACACCAAAAAGGCACCATAATCCACTTAACCAAAGCAAAACCCATTGAACAAAAAATGCACTGGAACACCTCAAATGCTCATACACACATTTGCAGAAATGTATCCAGGTGTGGACATGGTGTGAATAGACCCTACAATTCTACGTACACCAGCCCACCAAGTCTCACCACAGTAAAAGGATTATGTAGGTGCATTGTCCAGGGCCTGATTATACCAAGCAGGTGCTAATAATTGACAAGATATGTAGGATCCGCTTCGTAGGAGGTATTTACAATTTTATTATGCAGATCTTTGTCTAAACAATGGAATATCCTTATTCTATAGGTAATAGAAAAAGTAATAACATGTTAATAGTTTTGCCCCCTATCCAAATAAAACAAGTTTTGCTTTTATTTAGAACATTAAAAACTTTTATACCCTTCCTAGCACCCAACAAAACTTTCTTGAGGCTTGGAATCTGCTATTGCTACCATTCTGGTTTTCTGGCTGTTGTGTTTAACCTCTTCAATACATTGAAATCTTAATTTGCATGTTGGGTTTCAACAAAAGACAGACTTCTTATTCTGACTTTACAGTTATAAATTTGTTCCAAATGAGTTACTCACTTTATTGAACTATGTTGGTCTGTGTCCAACCAACCAAAACCGTATTTAACCGTGCTAAGTGCTTCTCATTAAGTCAGTGTGAGCAAAATTTAAAATCCTTAATGCAGGGCTGCACTGTATGAGGGAAAGGTGGTACAACCGTACCGGTGGAGGGGAAGGACCATTTGTTGAAAGGTAAGTATAGTGGAGGGGAGAGGGGGCCAGATTTAAGTGGGCGATTCCATTTTCTCAAATTACGTGGAGCGGGCACTTTCATGCAGATTGCGGCTGCCTGGCTACCACAAGGTCTCCCGGGGGGGGGGGGGTTTGCAGCAGGGTTGGGGTGCTCTTCCCACACACCCCACTTGGCACCTGTGTGATGGCAATAAAGTTACAAGCCCCTATGTGATGGTGTTTGGAGGTTGACCACTTCTCTCTATGGAGCCTGCCCTCCAATACAGCTGAGATGGGAGTACAAAAGAGCAGGGAACCCCAAAAACCACAACAGTGTTAATTTCATAGACTAATCATTTTTGTCGGTTTTCATGAACACATTTTCAGTGACTAAAACAAAATAAAAACTAAGTTATGATGAATTAAAACTGACAAAAATATATTGACATTTTAGTTGAACTAAAACTGGAGACTATTTGGGAAGAGATCCAATCAGAACTAATCTCTTTGGACTTCAGGTTCCATCCTGAATGAACGGCTAATGGGTAATATGCAATGGCATTACAGCCAATCTAGTTTTCATTTTAATATTTGAGTTGCAATTCTGCTTGAAAGAATGAAGAATGTAATATGCAAGTTGTTATAATCAATACATCTCATTACTGTTCTTTTGTTGAAAATACTCAATATTGTTTAAAAGAAACAATGTGGTTATATACTATAGAAAGTGTAAAAAATGATTTACAGCTATGTTATCTAATTTTAACATTTTCACAAGAAACGTGTTTGCTAAAATAACTAATGCAGTTAGAATAAAGTCTTCTATCTCACTGAATTGACTATGGATGATGTAAGCTATGAGTTCATCTAGTGATCTTATAAAAGTATAAGTAACAGCAGCAGAGTCTTCAGTAATGTCGTCTTTATATGTTTTGTTCCATAGGTGGTGTTGGTACTGCAGCAACACAGCTCTGTAAAACTGTGGATGATATTACAATATTTGGGACCGCTTCTTCTTGCAAGCATGAAGCACTTAAAGAACACGGTGTCACTCATCCCATTGACTACAGGACGAGTGATTATGTGGATGAACTTCGGAAAATCTCCCCTAAAGGTAGAAATGGTCTTCTTAAGGACTCCATGTTTAGATTGTGATCAAATATGTAATCAAATATGTAATCAGGCATTTCTTGATGTGGAAGTTAAGCTATCCTGAAAATGAAGTCTGTTCTAGATCAGACTAGTTGCACTTCATGGAAGAACCAGAATCTTTAATTTGTGAAACAATAATGGTCACATGCATGAAAATTGCTTAGTCTTTAACGCTTGGTCAGACCACCATGTTTTCAAATGTTAGAACGTATATGGGCTGTGTAACTTTTTTTATTGCTCTAAAAACAATTTTTGATACACATGGATATACATTCTTGGGTCTTAAATGTTACCAAAAGACAGGGGACCTCTTTCCTCCTAAGTAGTTGCAGGTGGTGCTGGCTGCTGTTGAACAGTGGGTGGCAGTTGATTGAGCAGGCTAGTATCTGTCCTGATACGGAGTATTTGGGCAAGTACTCTCACTGCTCCGATGTCCATCCCAATATCGGAAGTTCTGGAAGCTAGGCGGTGAGTCATTACACGCTGCCTGACTTCCTGATTGGCCAGCAAAGCCGGCTCTATGCTCCCTCGTCACTTGATTGGCCGGGAAGCCGGGCGGCGTGCAATGACTTGCTGCCCAATCAGGAAGCCAAGTAGCGAGTCATAACCCTAACCAGAAAGCCAGCTCCATGCTTCCTCGTCACCTGGTGACGGCTTCCCAGCTAATCCCAGGGAAGCTGGACAGCGAGTCTTTACATGCCGCCCAACTTCCTTTTTAATGGGACTTTTGGTATCGGCGAGTACCAAAAAAAAAAAAAAATCTGTACTCTATGCTGTAAAAACGGTATCGGTGCGTCCCTAGCTCAGGTGTAGTTAGATGTGACACTTGCAATAAAGTGCTTGGGCAGCTTAAAACTATGTAAATCTGTGCCCATGCTCTTTTGGCTAATAGGATGTGGAATGCAATATATAACTTGTATATTTTTTTTTTTTTAGGTGTAGACATAGTGATGGATCCCCTGGGAGGTTCTGACACTTGTAAAGCATATAACCTGCTGAAACCTATGGGAAAACTGGTAATTTATGGTGAGTATATAGGCAAATTACCTCCCATATATAAAATGTCCTTATTTACCAAGCTCGACAAGGCCTCTAGGACGCAGAGCAGGACTTTGAGATACTCATCACACAATAACTTTGGAGGCTCACCATGTGAGTAACCATCCACAATCGTGCCAACCAAATATAAATAAAAATATATACATACACACTGCTAACCCATACATAAGGGCAAAGTAAAATGTTTGCATGTGAAATAGTGAGACTTGTACATAATGTATGTAAACCGTAACGGGCAGAAACTGGTGGTCTCCAGACTGCAGGTGTTTGCTAGTATTAACCCTTGTGGTTTTGGGCATCTGAATAATGTACAATATTAACCTGGATTTTTTTTTTTTTTTTTTGTCAAGCTTCTACAGCCTGAAAAGCATTTTGGTTGTGAAGCCAGTTTTCATTCTCTTGGTAGAAATTGTAGATCCTCTTGAGAAGCAAATTGGGAGTTTGCTAAACTTCTTAAAACTATACTGAGAACAGGCGTTATAATTGGTATATTCTCTACCTCCTCATAGGTTTTTATACCCAAACCCCTCTGTAATGGGCCCACAGCATTGTTGAAGTATTTTGTAGTCCTACTCTATGGATATCCAAGCTAAAATATTATTTTACAGGAGCTGCCAACATGTTGACTGGACAAAAGAAGAACCTTGCTGCCTTGGCAAAGACTTGGTGGAACCAGATCAGCATAAATGCTATGCAGCTTATTCCATCGAACAAAGCGGTGTGTGGCTTCCACCTGGGCCACTTGGATAATGAAACCGAGCTGCTCACCGATGTTGTGGTTAAACTGCTTGACATGTACAAGCAAGGGAAGATCAAGCCCAAGATTGACAGCGTATATCCTTTTGAGCAGGTATGTTAGTACACCTTTTGGTGTACAAGATGCAATGTTGGGGACGTTTAGGCACACAAATGACTGTCCTTGAACAAGTGCCTGACTTTTTTCAGAGTATTAATTGAATGCATTGGTTCTGAGTCCAGGGACGGTCACCTGTTCCTAACCTTAGGTAATCGGTGTCTGACTACATCTGAACAGCTGCAGTTGCCATCATCGTGTCATTGTTGCATTCTGGCTGCAGCTGCTCAGATGTAATTTGAACACCACAGATTGCATTCAGGGACCATATGTCTCTAACTGCAGGTAGCCTACCTGCAGTCAGGGACAAAATCTCTGCACATGTATAGCTTTTCTATATTTACTTATAGCCTTCAGCCAAAACCTTGTTTGCAGAATCAAAATGCTGGTTATCTGGGCTTCAACACTGCATAAAACATCTAAAACATTTTATTCTGCTACAAACCACCTGCTGAAGTAGACTTTTTTTTTTGTTTGTTCTGTGAAACATGTTGCAAAGCAGTGTGCGTGTCCCTATGATGGAATATCGTGGTAATAAGGCCTCATTCACATGGGGTGTACATGCGGCATGCACGCCTATAATGAACCGGTCTCAGGAGGGACAGGTGCTGCGTGTGATTGGGAAGAGCAGGCTGCTCTTCCCAATGTGAGGTCGTGGGTGTGCGATGTCAGACGTACATCCGTACGGGTGTCCGCACTTGGACACGGACAGGATGCATCCTGTCTGCGTCCAAGTGCGTAAACCTGTACCTGCACGGATGACTGTGTACAGCTGCGTCCTCCCATAGGAAAGAACGGGCTGCTGCGTGAAATCACACACCGCACCTGTCACTTCAGGTATCTGGCCACTTCCAGGGGTGCATGCCGCATGGACCTGTACGTCCCGTGTGAAATGAGGCCTAAAGCAATAAAAAGACACAGCTTGAAGATCATGTCTGCCGTTGGTAACCTAAAAAAACAAGGATTTGCCTGAAGGATATATGTAAATATCGTGTATGTGCAACAAGGTTTTAGTCTAAAGTCACACATATTATTACATTTACCTTCATCAAAGTTATTTTTGGGATATGGATTGGTGGTAGTTCTTGCTGTTATTGGTAATACATTGCGGGAAATGGGACGTTCAGTGTCATGGCGTCTCGTACACAGCAGATAAGGACATGTCACTGTTGTGCTTCTGTGGAAATCTTCAGAGGCTAGGATCTTCTCTCTTCACTTCCATCTCTTGAAGACTTTTATCTTTATTACTTCCCTCTGTACTGACATCTGGCAACTGCTCCAAAGAAATAAGTCATTCTCCAGATGTCTTTACTGTAGGGACACTTTCCTCATTCTTTGGGAACGTTGGCTGGTTCCACCCAGAATCTTTCACAAGCAGTTTAGTTTCTGAAGAATTGTCCTTTCCCTTGTCTCTGGAAAAAGCTTGAAAAAAATGTTAACCCTTGCAATGGGACTACTGCCGCTCTGCAAGGGTTAAGTGCCTGTTTCTGTCTGGGGTGTAAATTTGTGCTCCCCAAACCTCACAGCTGGCTGTTGGGAGCGCTCTCCTGCAGCTTGTCTCCTCCTCTGCAGCAATGGAATGTCCCTTGGTGTCCTGTTCCCTGTATTGGATGTGATGGCTCACAGGACCTTAGACCGCCAGAGGTACAGAGGTCATCACCGGTATGATGTGGTATTGCCCAAACTGCTAAAATTGGGTTTCAATGCATTAACTGGAAGGATAGTGGTCGAGGGAGAAATGTGGTCAGAAAAGCCAATCTTGAATGATCAGCAATCGCTTAAACATTTGAAATCAAATTGTTAAAAAATCAGAAACCGCGGCTGTTTAATAGTGAAGGTAAAATGATTTCCACACGCACACATGTGGAGAGAACTCGAGGGATTGAGATTAAACAGTTGTGTAGCCTTACGAAAATCACTCATCAGTGAGGCTAATCACAAAGATTGGAGAAAGGTCATGTAGTCCATTTACCATGTTGAGTGATGGGTGCACTTCATCTGCCTCCCATCTTACCCTGATGCACCCATCATACTTGGTGTCTAGCACAAGGCTTTGGGGGCAGTGTTATGATCTTGGGTGGCAGGGACTGAGACCATGGTAAACACATCCCCCCCCACCTAGCATGTACGTATAGTTCTTTGCAGTGCTGCCTCCCAACATTCCCAGCCTTTTTACAAATTCAGTATGCACCAGCAGTTTCTATTCCAATGTTCGCCTGGTCTTCAAGTGCAGGAGGGGGTTGCACTAGCTGGCTAGGTACACTTGGCAGGATTGGCAGTGTCATAAGGCTACATGCTGGAGATCACTGGAGCCTTACGGTTTAGGTAATTATACTATTAGGAAAATGTTCACCTTTTGTGGAAGGAAAGCCCTGTATAAGAAGTGCACTTGGAGACTTTCACCAGACCCAATCTTATGGGAAGAATTTTGTTCAAATTAAAAGATGTGCTTTTTATGTATTCATTGTATAGTTTAAGGTTGGAAAAAAGACAAAGGTCCATCTAGTTCAAAGTGTGATGCAGGTTATGAATGTCCCTGTATATTCTGTGGACTGACACACATCTAAAGGTTCTGCACTCGTAATTGATGCCACTAATCGTGGAAGGAGAGTTCCACATTTTTACTGCTGAAACCAAAAAATGATTGAGCAGTTTACCATTAAACCTCTTATCCAACTTCATGTTGTGGCCATGTGTTTTCAGAGTCCTTAGAATAAACTATTGCATGTTATTTACCTGTAAAAGCTTGCCCTTCCTCCCAAATTCATGAGGGGAGGAGGACACCCCTAGGAGAGGGAATGGACCAGTCATTTTTCTTTTAGAAATGTTGTAGGCACACTGCATGTAAAACTAAGACTTTATGGAAAGGAAAAACACTGCAAGTAAGTGTTGAAAATGAGAGTTCTGTGCTCTTACCGGCAATGTATATAGTGGACGGGGAAACTTTTTAAAGGGAATAGTTTTAAATCTTGTTTAAATGTGTCATTTATCACTTTGCAGGTTGGTGATGCCATGAGACAGATGCAGGAGAAGAAAAATGTTGGTAAAGTGATCCTGGTCCCTGAAGTGCCAAAAGAAGAAGCAAAAAAGGAAGAGAATTAGAGCTGCAGAAGCGAGCGCTGAGTCCTGCAGATTGTGAAAACTGTCCTGTGTGTGTGTTTGGGGAAGAATGTCTGAGCCCTGTTGTCAAATGCTTATATACCTGCTCACTTGCCAGTAGGTGCTACAAGAGCATTTGGGTGTGAGCATCTACCTGCGGGTATAGAATTTGAGAAATCCCACTTTAAGTCTGAACTGCACATGATTTAGCAAAGAGAGTCCTGAGCCAATCTCTGGGGAATTTGTTTTGTCTTAGTCTGCTGCAGTTTCGGAGAATTTTCATTGTACTCCCTATAGGTCTGTACACATAACATTCCAGATATTGGGTTGCAGTTATGCTGAGGGAAAGTAAAATATGTCCGGTTTCCACCATCAGGCACATTAACTAAGATGGTTCATGATGTTAATGCTCGACTCTTGGTACAAACTGTTGTTACTGATGTTTTGTTAAATAAAATGTTCTCCTTTTGGATTTTCATTTACCTCTCTTTTTTTTTTTTTTCCTTTGCAAGAAAGCTGTGGTAATCAACTATCCAAGCTTACTAATGGACGTCCGCTTGGTCATTTTTAAGGGAATTAATGTAAAGTCTTATACTTTTTCTAAAACGGTCACTTACCCTAACACTTGACTGCTTTGTAACATTCTACATATGGTCAGTTGACTGCCACAAACGTTCATTGCAGTGTGAATTTAAGGAACAACAATGCTGGGTAAACGCCATCAGGTTAAGGAACAACAATGCTGGGTAAACGCCATGAAAACACTGATGTAATGCACCCACAGTGGTGTTTAAAGTCTCATAAAAACGGCTGGTTTTGGTTTATAAAGAGCCCACTCTGGGGAGATTTTAACGAATGTCTGTATAAGAAAAGGGGGGTGCCATTGTCCTTGTCGGTGCAGGAAGACATGGACAGCTATGGAAACATGGACCAATTTGAAAGGGTTAAAACTGACAGTTTTTTGTTTGGAGAGATTGCCCCTTCCTCTCCTGGCAGGAAGTAAGGGGAGATCACCTCCTAATAAAAACCTGACAGGGGCTCGAACCTTCTCTGCTGTATCCAAAACGTTTTAAATTTATTTTGGCTTGTATTGAGTCATGGCAGCGTTGGCTCCTAGCTTTGTCTTGGTCCACAAGCCATCTCTACCTGCCATACTTCTGATTCTTCTGCCTACCTTTTGCAGTCCCTATGATCTCCTGTTGCGTTATTTATAATGCTACAGCAGTGGCGCAGACCCAGAACCTCAAATTCAGAGATCTGAGACGTATACTTACAAGTGGTTTGCCTCACCAGCATCTACCAAAAACAACTTTCAGTTGTGAGTGGATTGACCCTTAAACAGAAATTTTGTGCTATCCTATAGAATTTAAATTGGCAGCTTTTTGTGGAACTTGGCGTTTGTGTTGCCCCCTACGTGTGCCTGCATTGCTCATGTTTAATATAACTGAAATAAGAGATGAGGTAACACAATTGAGTCTTTGTGCTGCCAAAATGACTCCAGTGCTAGCACAATACTGAACATTACCTCACAACTAAAATTCAACTTTTGCAAAGCTTCTTAATCTGCCAAAAGTTATACTTGTGCTTGACACCGTTCCATCAAACATGCTTTAGGTCTGAGTGTGACTTGCATCCTGAAGTTCTCACCTGTACCCACCTGTATCTGTGGGATGGGCACCATACACTGCATGAGGAAAGGTTGCATGTACCATGTAGATGCAAAGTAAGGGATATTGGGGAAAGGGCTACATATGCCTAGCAGTGGCAAATGTAACTGCAGCACTGGGTCCTAATTGGCCAGCCAAATGCTAAAATACGGAACTGCGTAAATTGTTTCCAAACCTTTACATTTTACAGACGCACACTTCTATTTTTTGGCCTCTGCACTAAAACCGGAGGTGATCTATTGAGCATGTTGTGAAAAATGTCGTCTTGACACTAAACTCAGGAGTTAAATCTTAAAAATGCATTCAAGCGCCCTAAATAGTAACAAAATGTATCTTTGTGTATCACTCGGCTGTAGATCCTCAGATCATCTCTGAATGGGTGCTGACACTGTCCTTCCTTCTGGAGGGTGGCTACTTTTGTTTCCCATGGTCCCTGTGTGTGTTGTAGTACCCACAAAGCTCACTCCCATAATAGACTACAATCTCACGTTTTAGTTTTCTAATTTGTATTGAGATTGTAGTCCATCACAGGAGTGAGTTTGGAGCGGTGACTACTTTACAACACATACAGGGACCATGGGGAACAAAAAAAGCCCCCCTCCAGAAAGGAAAGTGTGTCAGCACCAATTCAGAGATGAGTGATACACAAATAAGATACATTTAATAGTGAAGGCACTCTAATGCATTTTTTAAATAACTCCCGAGTTTAGTGTCACTAACTAATCCTCTTTCAGAAACCTGTTGGCATTAAAAAAAAAGTGTAAAAATGTGAGAAGTGACCCAATTTTTCATTGGTCCTCTATAAAAGCTGTGATGTTCTTCTGCTTTCCAACAACCAAGATCAGCAATGTATTCTTCGTTACCAACCTAACCCGACGGTAAAGTCAAATGATTGTGTGAGGGTTGCAACTTATAGCAGTGATGCATGCTGGTATATTTGGAGAATTTAGTTTGTAGACTCTTATGCACTGGAGCTAGGTCTGACTTGGTCTGATTGTTACTATTGCTTTTTTTTTTTTAAATGTTAAACTCCTAAATGTGAAAATTGTGTGCTGTCTTTGGGGACCGAGCTACATTCCTTCAAGCACAGACGTAGAGCACACGCTTTGCCAAAGATGTCCTGTGTAACATGAACTTTTACCATTGAGCAGCGATGGTCCCATGATGGCACTTACCAACATGCTCTGCCTACTTCTAGAAAGAATAGTAACTAGCGGTGATGTCTAGATGGAATTCCTTTGTTAGTTTTGTGTTGGAAGTACAGGGCCCAGGACTAGTGTATTTCTATTGCGTTATGTTGCTGGACCATTATTAGCGGTGTTTCTGAATTTTTATATTTTATTTTTTTGTTATAACTAGTTTTGTATTTTGTTTTTTGAGGCTACTGCATTAAAGGAAGCCTGCACATATATAAATCATCCATGTAGTCTGCAGACTATTTTCTTGAGACTGCAAATTTGTGTAGCCCACAAGGTCTTAAAGACGTGCTAGTGGAGCTCCTAGTGTATACATCCTGGACAAAAAAAAAATTAACAATGAGCATTGTACCAAGAAATATTTAATTTGGGTGAAAGTGTATGATGGCTTCTTGTTCCTGGCATAATTTATAGCAGTGGTAGCCAAACTCCGGCCCTCCAGCTGTGGTGGAACTACAAATCCCTTGAGGCATTGCACGATTCTCAGACATGACTCCTGGAGAGATGCATCATGGGATTTGTGGTTTCACCACAGCTGGAGGGCCAGAGTTTGGCTACCCCTGCTTTTGTAGCCTTGGAGCAAAAGCTGGCACACTTTTCTAAATATTGGGATACGAATCCTCAGCATGTAGTCATCAATAGGCAACATGAATGACAATCTGAGGGTTGAAATGCTGTATTTAGGTCGTGTGTAAACCTATAGGCCAATACCTGGATACAGTCATTGTGCGTGTGTTACTGGCCCAGCTCTAAGAGTAAAATATCTACAGACCATGCACGTGTTGGCGATTGTCTGTTCTACTACCGTTTAGTTTTCCATCCTCTTGGAATTTTCTAGGTGACTAGTCTGATACCTATGAATGACTCGTAGTGATGTCATAGCCTGGCCACATTTCCTGTATGCTGTAACTCAAGGGTCAAGCTCAGGTTTTTGTCTGATAAAAGATGAATGCAGTCCTTCTGGCATCAAATCCTGGACCAACTGATTAGACAAATTTGTCATCAGCGTTCCTCTTGGTCTGTTGTCACTTTGTGTCTTATAATAAAAACAATACCCGCTTTGTAAGTGTAAGAGTTGAACAAAAGTTTTGTGCCAATGCTGATTACATGATGTGTAATGCTTTCTGCCTAATTTTGCCGTATGCCTTACATGTTTCAAATGTTAAATAAAAAGCATAACAAAATCTCCCAAGTCTGGCTGTTGTTTCTGCAACGTTCTCCACTCTTTCATACGCCCACCTGCACCATCTTCTCCTTGTCTGAACATTTTGCCTGCTAGGATGGGAAACTCCAATGCCGGAGTTCAATATTTCTCAATGGTAAAGAATGTATTGCCAGTGACGTGGCCGAGACCTTGTGTTTTTAGAGACTTTTCTTTGCTCCTGATTGGTGGTGTTTAACCCCTTCTACCTGCAGTCTGTAGATGAACATTATACTGCATCGTTCCCCGCCCTTAGCGAAAGGTAATTTCTCCGCTTTAAAAGGTTGCAGCTAAAACTTGGCAGCTGATGCCGGTCAGCCGAGACTGTTAGTGAGCGCTTCGGTCTCTCAGCACTTGGAACCCAATCACAGTGGTTCCTGGTCATATGGACATGGCAAGGTGCCAGCTGTAGGCAGCCCAAATATGGTGGTATACCTCCACCAAATGGCAGGTACAATAACCGCCTTAAACCAAAATCACTGCACTGGCAAGCC